CTCTAAGATTTATATATTTCTGCATCTGGACTAGGGAGAGTATTCCTGAACCAGTTACAATACTCAGAAGTCCAGGAAGAAAGGGGGGAAAAAAGTTTACTTTTCTCCTATTAAGAATATACACTGGCATTCTAATTCAGTCAAAGGGTACTTTATGGTGGGGTTTAGAAGGAATTTGTCCTAAAACAATAAAGGCAACTTTACAGTACTAGGCAATGTCTATACAATGTGGAAGTTATCAAGTTAAAGAAGACAGAATCTGGAGCAGCTGAGCATAGCAGCCAATTAGCTTCTATCTTCAGCTTGTTCAGGCTCTAAAGCTAAAAGTAAAACGATAGAAGCTGATTGTTGCAAGCACAACTGCTCCAGTTTTAAAAACCCTTCGTGTTGTAGGTTTGATTTATGCCAGCATTTCTTATTCTAATACAGGACTTGTGAGTGACAATTTCCTCCAGCAAGAAAATCTGTTCATCTTTTAATGAAACTGCAAACCTCTTACTGGGGTAAGAGTAGATTACACATTTTGAGATCCAGTTTCAAAAGCCCAAGTTTGCTGGCATTACCCAATGGTGAACCTTCTACCAAGAGTGCAAGACAGACAAAACACTGTCAAGTTAACCATTAGCACTGTGATGGGCAATTACCTGAAGGCAAAATGTGTATGGGCAAGGAAAACCCTGGTAAGAAAGGCTTAAAATGTCAGGACAAGCCATTTCTTATTCACCATCTACATGCATAAGCCAATCCTGAGTGTTTAAAAAAAAAAAAAAAAAGGGGGACCACAGAAGCAAACAAGTCAAAACTCTGTAGCACAAGATACTATACTTAGCAATACTAGAGGAGCCATTGATCTCCAAATGTTTTCTAACTTGTTTGCAAGACGTTGATCAAATGACTGCTGTCACAGATTAATCAACGTTCAGCAGGGACCAGCTGAATTTCAGTCTATAATCATCTTTAGGGGTGTAGAGCAGAATAGACATATTGAGCACCAGTGTCACCTTGTGTTAGGTGTGAATGAAAATGTCTTCTCAATCTTTACAATACTAACCTAGTGCCTCTAATCAAGAAGAAACCTGTGAATATCAAGTGTCCTTAAGTTCCAGGTCAGTGACTCACCCAGTATTAAAAAGCAAGCATAAGACCAGCCTAGTGTACAAACAAGACACCCAACAATATGAGTTCCAACTTATCTTGGCATTTTCTATAAATGCCATCTTTCCTGAGCTGCATATTTATTCCAAAGCCAATGCCTCACAAAAAAAAAAAACAAACACCCCACACAGAACCAAACTAGCATTTTTCAGAGTTCTTAGCAGCTCCAACACTTATAGCACATCTATTTGAAACCCCTAACACACTAAAAAAGGAGGACTTTCTCCTGTCCATTCACTGCACCACAATTCCTTTTATACAAAAATGTCCATACTTACCCATTTATAGTCCCACCACCTTCCTGATCCATTGGAGCACTCCAACAAAGTAGGGCTTCAAAGTATTGGAAAGCATGGGCCCTTCCTGTGTGCTTGGGGCTGAGAGGTCAGTTGCCAGGCACAAGGGATTCTTGGGTGGCTGGTTGAAGATCGGGGATGAACGTTATCCACCTGGGTAAGTTCCAATACTACTCAAAACCAGTTTAATCAGTGGTCTCCTGTTACAAGATGTTGAGGGAGCATGATTTTGAGTTGATCATGCTGGTGGGGTGACTAGAAGGCTCTGAAAGGTCTAGTGAGAGCAACTGTAGGTATTGGCTTTACACTGGAACATTTTAAAAGTTTTGGCTACATCAGGCTAGCGGTATTAAAAATAGGCAAAACAAAACCCAATACCAAAATTATAACTTACCCAGTTACAGAAAATGCATAGTATTCTTATTGCTGCCCTATATTAAAACAAATCAAACCGTCTTTAGCAAAGAGCTTTCACATGCATTTTCCCCAATTGCACGTTATTATATTAAACATCTGGTCACCAAGGACATGTTTCCTTCCCAAGTCATTTTTACAACTAATGCCACATAGCAATTGTCCAGTTTCCTACCAAACATAACTGGCGTCAAGTATTGAAATGCTAAATCAAAAGAATAGATCTATATAAAAAAAACTCACACACACACACACACACACAAGACAGACTTTTACATTGCTATGAAAGAGCCAGCCAATGCCATGTAAAAGACTAAAGTCAGACTAGCAAGCGCATAGACTAGTCATAAATTAGTATGGTGAATAACCAAAGTATACAGAGGGGAAAGAACCCACCATTGGATAGCCTACTGCGGCCTAAGCCATGACTTGAGATGTGAAAGTAATTTTACAGATAATGCAACAGCAGCAGAATGTTGTACCATGTTAGCAAACAGAAGTCTGGATTTAGGGCAATACCCATTTATTGGCAAAATAAAAAACCAACAATAAAAGTACTACAATCCAAGTTATCTGGTCAATAAATGTTATGTCCCAAATCCAAACTTCTACATACTCCAATGTAAAATGGCTTCATCAATATAACTATCTAGGTTTTTCACATAGAACATGCACTCAGGTCTACTACAATAAAACGTTATTATTGTGGAACTTTCGTTAAAGTTAGTGGAAGAACTGTCTCAGGCCTTTGTCGGCCCTCAGCAACCTTCCTTCAAAAAGAATACTGGTTGCTGAAGGCCAAAACACCTTGCCTGACCCAACTCTTCTCAAAGACACTATGGGGTTGATTTATAGAGCGCAAAGTCTGGTGCAGATCTGCACAGAAACCAATCTGCTTGCAGGGTTTTCTCAAAGCTTAAGCCAGCCATAGAGAGCAATTTTCTTTCCAGCAACCACAGGTCTCAGGAAAGAAATGGCTTGATTACCCCATCACAGTCAATGTTGATTGGTACAAACAGCCTGTCAGATATATGCAATTTCAAGTAGCTATTATAGCCAGAACACAGTATCGCCAATGGAGACTCTCCCAAGTTGATCGATCAACTTAGATACATTCAGCCTGACCATACATGGTTTGAATCTCAGCTGGTCCCTGCTGAACTGGCTGAGATTTGAACCATCTATGGCTGGCTTTCACTGAAGATGAAGTGACTGGCTACCATGCACAACTGCACCAGATTTGCACTCTACAGTTCTAGTAAATCAACCCCAATGCAATTCCCACTGTGGTCAAAATGCAATAAGTGGAAAGACGTTTTAGAACACACTGCAGCCATATAGAAGAAAAACCACTGAAATCAAATAAGTAAAAATATGCCCAGAATGCGTTGTCTTTATTCATTGCTACACTTGGAATGTGTACAAGCATTGAAATGTAAAATAGGTTTCCATACCCTGAAGCAACTTTGAAGTCTTCTTCAGGAGAGGCATTCTAGTAAGGAAAAAAAAAAACCCACTCACTTCCTTTGGCTATACAAAGGCCTATTATACATGTGAGGATTAAGCATTTGAAAAGGAACCCCAAGGAAAGATGAAGCAGCTTTTGTTCAGGTTAGTGCTTCCCAAACCTGTCCTATGGGACCACCTAACTGGCTGCAACCAGTACCTAGTTTTACACATGATTGCAGCCAAACAAAATCTACCTGCATCTGGTCACTTGCCTATACAGATCCTGCCAAAACAGCTACACAATACCAACTGGATTAAGAAGGCCACTATAGTTAATGGACAAGACAAGCACATGGATGACACATGCAAATTAGTATTTAAAAAAAAAAAATAAAAATAAAAATGAGACTATTCAAGTAGGTGATTAGTGTTAACTATATGCCAAAGAAACACAAAACATGTACATTTTATTCACATTTATTTTTCGCTTTTAGTGTGCTCACAGAAAATTAGAACACCTTAAGCAAGAGTTTAATAGCAATTTTGTAAGCAAAGTTACATTCCATCTCTAAGTCAAATTGGTCAAAGCTTCTCCAGTATTTACAAAACATGAAAGACAAGATGCTACACAAAAAACCATTGCATCTGAAGTTTTCCTTAATTCTTAAAGACAACTGGAAAAGAAAGCATTGCCTGCTGTAATCAAAAAAACATACCACAGTATAAACAGTAACCATTCCACTTATCACAGCTTTGTTGAGTTTAAAATTTTGTGTTTAAAAGGTCCAATATGACTGCAGTTTTACAAAAATGGGCAGGGTGGAAGGAGTTGCAAACTTCATGTGCTTTTGGATATCAAGATTCCTTTTTATACAATAGTCACAGTTAAAAACACCCTGCTGGTAATACATAATTACATTTTATTAAGGTCATAAACCAGCAATAAACAATAAAGCCTATACAACTCGTATTTCTACTTAATCACCGACTGATACAGCTAACATGAGATAAGTGAAAAGTTCCTATGGTTTAAATGAATTACTAAAACTATGATCTGGGTATTGATTTTATTTTAATTTTGCTTGCCATCTTAGTCAAGACCTTTAGTGTTGTAAACCTTGTAGAAGGCTGCCCTCACAAAATCATCATTACTTTCTTTTTAAAAAGAAAAAAAAAATTTAAACAAAAAAAAACCAAACAGAAACCTGACCCCCATTCCATGTGGCACATTCTCTTGGCAACGTGTGCACCACCTAAAAACCCACTGTGGCTCCTATCACTTCATTTTTGATATCCCCTTTATTGACCCACCCATCTCCTTCATTATGGGCATGTCCATAAATTGACAAAAAAAAAAAAAAAAAAAGAGAAAAAAAAAGTATACATTTTCAATAAAAGATGCAAAGTACGCAAAAACATTAATACTGATGCAAAAAAGGATTGAGGCCGGTGATTGCTGTAAACTCAACACGGCCTGTTGGAATGGTGGTAACAGAATGATTTGAGATGGGATCTGTAAGGAGGAGAAAACAAAAAAAAACAAAAGACAAAAAAAAAATAAAAAATAAATCTTTAAATCAATCCCTGGTTGTAGACAAGTTCTCCAAAACCAGTACCTGGCACCACTCCAACAAACAAACAAGGGGAGAAAAAAAGTCCTTTGATTATCTCAAAATTGCCATCTCTTTACTCTGCTGACTCAGCTGCTGGACTGGATTCAGATGTAGCTTCCTGTGTAGGAGCTGCTGGTTCTTCAGCTTTTGGTGCCTCTGGTTCAGTGGATGGGGCCTCTGGAGCAGCAGCAGCAGCAGCAGCAGGGGCCTCTTCTGCTGGTTTCTCCTCAGACTTTGGCTCCTCGGCTGGTTTTACCTCTTCTGTGGGCTTTTCTGGTGCAGGCTCTTCAGTTTTGGTCTCCTGGGGCTCAGGTGAGGCGGCTGCTGCAGCTGCCTCCTCTTTCTTTTCCTCTGTGCTGCTGGCAGGAGCCTCTTCCTGTGCTGGTTTTGCCTCTTCATTGGCTGCCTCTGGCGCAGCCGCAGGAGCATCCTCCTTTGCTCCCTCATTGGAGGCAGCTGCTGCCTCAGCCTCTGCCCCTTCATTGTTTTCTTTTTTGTTCTTTTTGAAAGAAAAGCCACTCAGCTTGAAAGATTTTTTAAAGGAGAACCGTTTCTTTTTCTTCTTGGGGGTTTCATTGCTGGTGGAAGGTGTGGAAGTGGAACCGGCTTCTTCTGTTTTGGCAGAGGCCTCTCCTTCAGCTGGAGAGGCTGGTTCTGCACTTTCCCCTTCGGTGGAGGCGGCAGCTTCCTTCTCTGGAGCGGGCTCGGCGGCTGCTGCTGCCTCCTCTTTTGGCGTCTCCTCAGCAGGAGCGCTTCCGTTAGCCTGGACTTCCTCCTTTTCTGCCTCAGCTGCTGCAGGAGATGCATCTCCGTTGGCCTTCACGTGCCCATTTTCCTGCAGGAAAGAGAAAGAACCCAAAAACAAACCGGGTCAGTTAGGGGGTACCAGTGGTTACACAACCCCTACCACTGGGGTCACAAGTTTATTACAAAGCTAGAAAGACAGGTGAATTGTACCTTTTGGACCCAGTCTTCCCATAAAAAAAACAAAAAGTGGCTAAATGGTTAGTGCTTCCACCTGACAGTACTAGGGTCGTTGGTTCGAATCCCAACCACAGAACCTCCTGCCTGGAGTTTGCATGTTTACTGCCTGCACGGGTTTCCTCCAGGTACCTCCCACACTGATGGTTATTGGGATCCTCCCTAATATGTGTATGTATGAGAGTTAGGGACCTTAGACTGTATGCTCCTTGAGGGTTAGGGACTGATGAGACTATACAATATGTGTTGCGTAAAATGGACGGCAGTGCATAAGTACCTGTAATAAAATGTCTTGCTCACACCATGTCCCCTGACCTGCACTTGCTAAAAACGCAGGTCCCTGCAAGGGACCAAGTTCACACAACGCAGTAGTGCATATATATGAAATACAATGCTGAGAAAACATGCCGTGTTCCTGCACATGCATTTATTTGCAGTATGAAGGGAAAGGACCCTGAAGGGGCAGAAGATGAGGGGCCTGACTGCCATAGGCAAGCATACTAGAGCACGCCTCTGACATAATGGGCTTCATTCACAAATCTTACACAAGGATAGTAATCTTTATTTCAAACTACAGGGTTGATTTACGAAAACTGGAGTGTGCAAAATCTGATGCCGTACATGGCAGCCAATCAGCTTCTAACTTCAGTTTGTTCAGTTAAGCTTTGACAAGACCTGGAAGCTGATTGGCTGCACTCCCTAGTTTTAGTAAATCACCTCCTAAGTGACCAATTTACAAACCTCATTGGCCCCAGCTGAAAAGAACTGCTTTTTTTTGAAAATCTGTGTTTCTCATCCTGGTGTGTGAATGGAGCCTCATCTCAAATGACAAACACAAGGCTTCCTGTACATGGCCATTAGGAAACATGAGACATGCAAACATGAAATGGATTTACTGGCAGTGTTACATTTCATTTCTGAGAGGGTTAGTGCATTCAAACTGGAGGGGGGTAAACAAAACGGTAGCCCAGGAGGCCCATTCGTAATTCTTCATTTTTGAAGTGGGAACTTTGCTTTTGTTCTCTCCTGTTTGAATGAACTCTGAGGTAACAAGAAGCACACCAATGGGGCCGCTCAGAAATGTTTACTGTGACTTCCTGGAAGGGCAGTGACACAGCCTGCCCTTCCAGCTCATTAAAAAAAAGCCAGCATTAGCCGCCTTTCCCACAAGGGCTTCTATTTGAGCCATCAATAGCGCCCACATGGCGTTACTGAAAAGCATATCGTTTCCCTCCATTCTCCTACAACGCCTGCACACAAGCTAGGCTCGGCCTCTATGGAAGCGGTCGGCAGAGGGCGCTGTCCCTCCACCAGCCAGCACAATGCTCCGGGGAGCTTCGCTCGGCTGCCAGTACATTAGCTCCCAGATCACGCCTTCTTTGTAGCTGCAGATCCAGCGAGGAGCCAACAGACAAAGCCTGTGTGCTTTCCCTCTCATACACCATGTTAGAGAGAGGAAGAAAGAAAGAGGGGGCTTACTCTACACCTCCAGCTACACAATGGCGGACAGAGACCCCTCCCATACAGCGCACCGAAATGTCATCTCTACACAGCCACACATCATACAACACCGATTAATGAAAAATCCCATCATCCCGGCTCATCGTACATGCAGACACATGTTGCTGATCTGCACGACTACAAGCCCGATCGGGGCAATCACACCCCAATACCCCGAGATCGGGACCATTACACCTCTAAAAGAGACAATCACCAATCAATATCCTGAGATCGGGACCATTACACTCCTATAAAAGACAACCACCAATACTCTGAGATCGGAAAGTCACCCCCCTGTAAGAGGGGCGATCACACCCCAATACCGGGACCATTACACCCATAAAAAGAGGCAACCACTAACCAATATCCCGAGATCGGGACCTTAACACCCCCTATAAAATATAACCACCACCAATACCCCGAGATCGGATAATCACCCCCTGTAAGAGGGGCGATCACACCTCAATACCCTGAGATCGGGACAATTACTCCCAAGATCGGTCATTCACCCCCCTGTAAAAAAAGGGGGCAGTCACTTCCAATACCCTGAGATCGGGACAGTTACCCCCAGTAAAAGGGGCGATCACACTCAATACCCCATCTGAGATCGAGACAATTAACCCTCCTGCCCAATAAAAGACTGATATGGCATTCAACCCCCCCATACAAGTATAAATGGAAAAAAAAAAAAAGCGGACAATGCACCCCCCCCCCCCCTATAAAAAAGGGACACTCACCCTGCAATACCCCATCTGATATCAGGACAATGGACGTCCAACTCCCCTTAGATCAGGACAATCAGCTCCCCAATAAAGACTGATCGCCCCAAACACCTATCAGATCGGGGCAATCAACCCCCCCCCCCTCCCCCAGTATAAAGCTCGATCAGGGCAGCCAAACCCATCAGAGATCGAGGCAATCGCCCCCAAATAAGAGCATGATCGCCCCAAGCACCCATCAGATCAGGGAAATCACCCCCCCCCCCTCAACAAAAAAAAAAGCGCCTGATCAGGGTAGCCACCCTCAGAGATCGAGGCCATCACCCCCAACACCCATTAGACCGGGGCAATCAACCCTCCCCCAGTAACAAGCTCGATCAGGACAGGCAACCCCATCAGAGATGAAGACAATGAACCCCTCAAAAGCTTGATCAGGAAAGCCAACACCATCAGAGATTGAGACAATCGTCCTCAAATAAGAGCCCGATCGCCCCAACCACCAATCAGATTGGGGCAATCGAACCCCCCCAGTAAAAATCTCGATCAAGGCAGGCAGCCCCATCAGTGGAAGACAATGAACCCCTCAAAAAAAAAAAAAAAAAAAAAAAAAAGACTGATCAGGGCACCCAACCCCATTAGAGATTGAAGCAATCGCCCTCAAATAAAAGATCGATCGCCCCAAGCACCCATCCATCAGATCGTTACAATCAACCTCCCCCAGTAACAAAGCTCGATCAGATATCGGAGCAATCCCACCCCTTCCCCCAATAAACCTCGATCGCTCCAATCCCCATCAAAGAGATCATGGGCAACCGATTACCAATTAGAAACATAGGCAATTAACCCCCACAAAGCCCGATCACCCCAACCCCCATCCAAGATCGGGCCAATCACCCCCAACAAAAGCCCTCCCCAATCAGAGAGATGGTGGGCAACCCTCACAAAAGCCCCCCCTGTAGAGCTGACTGGCTGTTGCTATCCGATGGCTGGGTACTCGGAGCAGCAGCACCATACAATAGATCCCCCCCCCATCACCCCCCCCCCCCCATTTACCTGGCCGTTCGTCTTGGAAGGAGAGGCGGCTACAGCTTCCCGGGCTTGTCTGCGGTGGCGGCTTCCCCTTTGGCTCCGGTCTTAGAGAACTGGGCTCCCATGGCTGGTCTGTATATCCAACAAAAGGCAAAAAACGGGTCACCACCAAGACAGGAAAGGCTGCCTAAGAAGCTGGGTGCAGAGGGGAGCCCCCAGCCCCGGACAGGACTAGCAGAGAGGAAGAGAAGGAGACAAAGAAATGATGGGGCTCTGGAGACTGCCCGCCCGCCCGACTGCCTGCTGGCCAACAATAGACAGCACAGCCGGAGGATCCTCTGCAACAGGAGGAGGGGAGGGAGAAGACAAAGTGCGAGAGAGATGAGGAGGATGAGGAGATATTCACCGGTACGAGCAGGAGGAACCACAAACACGGCCAACAAAACACAGCGCTGGGCGATCCTCAAATCCCAACCCCAGAAAAAAAAAAAAAAAAAGAATCAATCAGTTCTCAGTAGACGGAGGAGCCAGACACATGAATGAAATATCCCAATGGTCGGCAGCCGTGCTGGATCCAACAGGAAAATGGAGAAATCTCCCCGCTCACTAATAAGATGCGGAGTCCAACGCCCAAGTGCACAGATGAATGGGCTTCCCAAGGCATGACGGCAGCCCAGGCCCGCCGCAGCCAATCACAGCGCGCCTAGACAAAGAAGGGGGCGCGGCTTGGAATTTGGGCAGAACAATGCAGCCCCAGCAGTGCAAAAAAAAAAAAAAAAAAAAAAAAAAAAATTCTAATCACTAATACAAATACCATATTTACAAAAAAAAGTGCCAACACCAAGATCGGGAAAAGAGAGCAATTAAGCAGGAATGACCGTGTGCCCCTCTTTAATAATAATAAAAAAATACTCACTGCTTCTTAGAGTGTGTTGTGTTTTCTTATTAGTACACAATGGGTTGGAGGCTGGAGCTGGGATGGGATCAATTTATACTGGCTTGTCTGCCATCACTCCTCCATCGCTCCCAGCTGCTTCATCAACAGATTGCCTGCCCTTTTTTTTTTTAATTGATGATTGCAGATTTCATTAAACAACAAAAAAGGAGGTGTTGGGGGGGATCAGATTTCTTTTTGCGATCTGGAGGATGTATGCTGTCCAGATGTGAGATTCGCACATTTCCTCCAGTCACTGCCTCTAAACTGCACATCTTTCTATTTCTCTTCCCAGCCTAATGAAATGCTGCTGTCCAATTATTTCTGATTTGTTGTCACCCACTGGAGGTTGCCTTTTTTTTTCACAATGGCAGTGTGTGTGAAAGTGATGGAAGCAGCGTAGGCTCAAGAGCTAACACACCGTAACAAAAAAAAAAAAGTGACATTTGTTTTTTCAGCTGGATCCAATGAGGTTTGAAAATGACAGTCACGTGGAGAATTACAAAAAAAATCCTTATTGCTGGTGTAAAGCTGTCAAGGAGGCGTCGGCGGTGGAGGGGTTAATGTGGCAGCTGGGGAAGATTTTTGGGAAGAAATGAATCAGGGAGGAGGGAGCTTTTTTGTTAGGTGATGGGGCTATGTGAGGATCACATTCTAACCTCGCCTGCTGAGCTCAAACTCCCCCCACCCCCCTAAAATGACCAGCTCATTTATTACACATCAGCCTGCTGGAACCCAGGCTAGTCTGGCTATGGAAGGCTTTGCAGCCATCATGGATATCCAGTGTGTGCGGAGACGCTAGCTGGGAATGCAGCCTCTGCCTGATCCCTGAGCTGGAGAGGGGGCCCTAGATGGGGGAGCTGTTTTCCCCCCCCATCACTGTGGCATTGATGAGGGCTGCAGTAGGCACAGAGAAGCCCCCCCATTTGCTTTATACTGGCATAGCCTGTCTGATCACATACAAACTGCCCCCAAGTGACAGGCAGGTGGCCATAGGTGGATCACATTTTGTCCAATTCCTGCTGAACTGACCAAAATTCGAGGTCCTGCTTGGCAAAAGTCAATTATAAAAAAATGATTGGATGAGCAATGACCTCATCCTATCAGTTGTCCTGTGAACATTTATTTATTACAGGTACTTATATAGCACCATCAATTTACACCAGTCCCCACCCTCAAGGAACTTACAATCTAAGGTCCCTAATTCACATTTATGCATACTAGGGCCATTTAACCTATCAGCATGTCTTGGGAGTGCGGGAGGAAACCCATGCAGGCAGAGGAAGAACATGCAAACTCCATGCAGGTAGTCAGGGCCGTGGATAAGAGAGTACCGCCAGTCCTCCTGCATGGGGCCCAGGCCAACAGGGGGGGCCCAGGCAGCTAGGTGAACCAGATGTGGACAGGGAGGGTGATTGGCACAGCAAGGGGCAATTACTGGAAACGATCCCCTCATTGGCTCTCTCTGCAGCAGCTGAAAGCTGGCTTCTTCTCCTCTTCCTTTTGCTGGCTTCCAGCTGCTGGAAGGAGAGCCACACAGGGGATCAGTTCCAGTCCCCTCCCCGCCCTTCCTGTGCACCATACGTTTCACCCCTGCTCCCAGGCTCCCCTGTGTGCCCCCACAGTGCTGCCAGCTTCCCTCCTTTCTATCCCATCTGCAGCTGCAAGCACACAATAGGTAAATACCATATGTCTCATTTTACCAGGCTCTTCCTTTTGTGAAGGAACACAATGAGTGATCGGTACCGATAACTCACTGTGTTCATGCATAACTGAAGCATAGTAAACTTAGTTGTTTTTTTTTTTTTTTTTTTTTTTTGGGGGGGGGCGTCATGTTGGCTGTATGGGGCCCCTTGATTTCTAAGAGCAGCCCTGCAGATAGTGCCCTGGTTGGGATTTGAACCCATAGTAGTACTGCTAGGCAGAAGTACTAAGCACTGTGCTGCCACCATCCACACTGTTTAGTATGAGCTTTTGCCTCTTGTGTGCTGAACAGCCAAAATCCACACTGTCTCTGCCCATGTTTACACTGTAGCCTGGCCCCTTGGACATCCACTGGTTTCGGTAAATCTAAAGGAAAATTGTACAAGAAAAATCGTATAATGTGTAGTGAGCATAAAGCGGAGCTTCGGTGACAACATAAAAATATAAAAGTCAACAGCTACAAAAACTGTAGCTGCTGACTTATAAAAAAACAGCCACTCACCTGTCCCTCAATCCCGCAGTGTCCTCACACCAGCCAGGTTCGCCGACCACCCTGTCTCCTTGGCGCCGCCATCTTCAGTGTGGGCACCCGGCTGTGACAGCTTGCGGCTTCACAGCCAGATGCCCACTGCGCATGCGCGAGAAGCGCTGCGCTTTATGAATGGTCCCATAGTCGTCTGGGACCTGTCACATGTCCCGGAAGACTCAAGGAGGGAGGAGAGGAGAACAAATAATGCTTCCGTTCACCTAGGTGATCACAGCGGAAGTGGGAGTGGTTACCTGCTCAACCCCCCCCCAGCTCCCCAAAGGTGTCAACCCTTAACTGGGGGACAAAGCCTTAAAGTGGAATGTCCCCATTTGGGTGGAGCTCTGCTTTAAGTTGCCTTGGGGCTTATTCAGCTCCTCTTTAGATGTCAAACCAAATGTAAATCCTAACTGGATGGCATTTAGTTTGCCAAAACACTATGTATCATAAACAATTAGCTTTTTTTTTTAAAAAAAAAAATGATAAACACAACTTCACCTTTAAGGTGTTACTAAACCCACAACAGTAAAATCAGTCTGTATATGCAGTAAAGCATGCTTGTTATACTCACTGTGGAGTCTAAAGGGTTAATCCTCTGCACTGGGTAAAAAGGCTGTTTGATCCTGTCTTCTCTGATCCTCACCTTCTTCCATTGTCCCCGTCTCATCTCCTGATAACACAGAGTCTTTGGAGTTACTCTGCACATACTCAGTTTGGTGTGTATTGCTAGAGTTTTTTTTTGCTCTTTAGGAGAGTGCATGTGATTAGCACAGGGCCAATCAGCACTGTCCAGACAGAGGTCAGGGGGTTCTGCATCCTCCTACAGCAAAATGAAAACTCCTCCTACAAGCTTTAACATGTGCTCCACAGCACACTGATAAAAGTCACAAGACTGCTGTAACTGCTGATGAGGAAAGGTATTTAGCAGTTTATATTTACTAAAATAATTGCATTTCCATGTTGTGTGTACTGTGGGAGACCAGATATAGTGAATGCAGGGTCCTGGTTTTAGTAACATTTTAACTGAATCCATTGTGGCAGCTAAATGCTACTGATCTCCTGCAGCCTCTTTGCAGCAACTTCATGTCTACACTCCAGCGATGGCTGCATGGCATTTCTCTTGGCAGGTTTCCCAGTGGTGATAACAGTAGACTGCGCCTGTGTGTTACAATAGCAAGAGTGTCTGTTGGAAGTCCATTGGACAGGTAGACAGTGTAAACATGCTCCAAGTAAAGCAGCACAATCCTGAAGGTGCTTGAACCCTCTATAACGCCAGGTATGTCCCTGTGCGCAATTTCCAGTCAGACGTGCCTATATTGGTGTACAGATGCTGCGTACTTCGGCCTGTCATTGATTGTACATGCTGCTGGAAGTGGACTGTACACAGATATACAAACATCTAAGTGGTACGTGTCTATAGCGGTACTTGTCTTCCGAGCAGCGCATATGTATGTCCCTCTGCGCAATTACCAGTCAGACGTCGCTATATTGGTGTACAGATGCTGCGGATTTCGGCCTGTCATTGATTTTACAGGCTGCTGGCAACAGACTGTAAACAGATATAAATACATCTGAGTGATACTTGTGTAGAAGGACACATGGCTGTCTTAATTCATGGGCACTGGCCAGGGGCCCCAGATGCATAGGGGCCACATGATAATCTTGCTTTACATCATGCTTGCCAACTGTCCCTGATTTGCTGGGACAGTCACTCTTTTTACTAAGCTGGATGGCCCAGGCAATATCCCAGAACCTGAATTGAATCCTCCTGATCCCAGTATTACACCCTTCAGCCTCCCTCCCCCCATACTGTGCCCTTTGCAGGGGCAGACTGACCAT